GTTACTCTACATGCAAGCTGATCAGTGGTAAGAAGGTATTGTCCCAAAATTGAGCATGAAGCAAATTATAGAACTAGCTGTTTAGGATGGATCCCAAGTGAGCTGCCGACATCGGATCGTGAAAGTATCCCATTTGGCGAACTGGTGACAGCCGGGAGGGGGCACGGGAGTTTCATCCATCAATAAAAAAATGCGCTTTTTAAAGATATTTAGCATTTGAGAGCGGCCTACCAATGACCAGAAAGGTAAGGGAAGCCTAAGAAGGCCTGCACCTTTGCCGCTGGACAAGAGTGTTAGTGTCTTTACTTGAAAAGATGTTTTCGCACGATTTTTACTAACCTTTTTTAACTAAACCCTAGTAGTGGCCAAAGCATACAGAACATCCAGATTTTAAACCCACTGTGGACGTCACATGCTCTCTTTAGCGCCGTATTTCAAGAAGTTGTCAGTTTTTTTTTCTTCAAAAACGTGATGCCTGTAGCTGGAAGCTTGATATACTTAAACTCAATTTGCAAAAGATGGTAACAATGCCGCGAAAACTGCACCCTCACTTTTTGATTGAAGATGAGTTGTGCTGGGCCTTTCTGTTCTGCCGTCAGTTGATGGCGTTATATTAGCGCGTAGGTTTTCTGAAATGGCAGCTGACTCTTCAAAAGGCTAGACTGAACATTTTTAGGTATGCTCTCTTATCTCAGCAATGCTAAAAATTTGAGAAAAAAACGATGTAGCGCATTTTTAAGTTGTTATTTTTGCGGGAAGAAATCACATTTAATGTCCGCACTGGTCGTCTCTGTAAATCAGAGAAGATGAAAAGCACAGAGCTGAGCGTTGTAAATTATTTTCTCTGTCAGGCACCATGTGGCTGAGTTTCAGTCAGGTAAATCACTGCATCTTTTGTATATTTGACGCCGGACCGCAAAACCTGAGCGTGTGGTTGTCAGTTATCTTAATTTAATAGGTGCAAGGTCGGGAACATAACAAACACAGTAAGATGCTAGATGTGATGTTTTTTACAAGCGATTGTTTGATTCAACCCCACAGTGATCAACATGATGCAAGCAGTGATGGATGCAAATATGCTTTATTATTCATACAGACCTTGCCCAGTCCAAAAATTCAACTCGTATTTCGTAAACTGTCTTACCAACAATATAACCTGGCTGCAACGGGGATTTCACTGTCGGGCGCCAAAAGAGATCAACGGAGTGGCAGGAAATGAAACGAACTGGACGTTGGCTCCTCGGGCGGTAATATTGGCCCGGCAATTTGCGGTTGATAAATAAAGGCAGTATTTTCGTGCAAGCGATGTGTATGGAACCGGAGAGACACGTTTGCAGAATGACTGTCACGGCCATTTGTTTGAAAACTAAACACCACTTCAGTCTGCAAGCTGTTTCAAAGAAAACAAATTCATCCCCAGAACCATGGTGGCTTCGGCACTTTTTGTTTCGATAAGTGGGCATGTAATGAGGCTGGAAATTCCTCGCACGGCGCACTGACGCTGTCAAAAGTTAAGGGGCCTGAAAGCTTTGGTACCTGGCTTTGGCACTATTTCTGGCAACGTAGTCCATCGTGCTCTGACAAAGGCATATCATTCTTCTTGTAATTGATTTTTTCCATTACAGCCCTCTTCAGATGGCGTACGACCCCTTCTGGCATCGTTTCTCAGATGTTTGACTAATAGGCAAACCAGCAAAGAAAATAATCGGGTGTTGCATGATCGGAGCAGGCGTAGAGCCTTCCAGAGAGGCTGAGAGTCTTCCAGAGAGGGTCCGATGTCGTCGACGATCCCGTCTTATGAGACTGAGCTCCCTGCGATCACCCCTGTTCCACTGCCACCCATGCTCGTGTTGATTCCGAAGGAGTCTTCAAGTGATCTTTGTGCTCCAAACCTGAACAGGCACAATAGGTCGCCCAATGGGGCGGGGAGCCATGCCTTCCCCCTTCCCCTTCTTGAGGCCGCGGGTCGCCTCCGTTAAAATTTGGCAGTTTAAGATATCAACAGGGCTTCTAAAATATGAAAATGGCCCCAAGACATCAAAATAGGATCCTGAGCCAAGAAAGTGCTCCCGTATAGAGAAATCAGTGCCCTATTTCTATAAGACATTGACCCCACTGGAGGTCGTCTTAAGACTTTTGGACCTTAAGAGTAAATTGTTTGGATGTCAAGACTCGTCGGAGAAAGACGCCTACCAAAAAAACAAAAACAAAAACAAAGCGACCAGAGGGGGGGGGGATTGACTGGAGGACCCCTTACATCACGATTTGGCCCTCTCCTGGGCCAAATCCTGATTACGTCACTGAAGAGTTGTGGATAGCCCGTGGGCACGGGGGGCCTTATTGAAGGTCAGCACTCTGCGATGGGCCCTGGTTTTAGGCACAAAATTTCGCAAATAGGGCCTGTTTGGACGTAAGAGAGAGCCCTTTTAAAGACAAGAACTTCAGAATTCGGGACCCCACACTTTCTTTCCAAAGCTGGAGGGGTTGAAGTCTCCCCTCCTCTCCCAAATAAGTAGGAAACTGCACCCCTTCCTTTTTTATAAATTCATCCCGAATGGTTTGTATGGGTGACTTTGGATTCAGAGTACCTGCTAAGCATGGCTTGTTGCGTATACCCCAAACCCACCACCCAAGCATGCAGTCCAGTTCAACAGCTAATTTTGCCTCCGCCCTTTGGCCAGACAGGAATGCTGAGGGTTTTACGTGTCGCACAATGCTGCGACACGGCCGCCTCGGGTCTGGGTTAAACCTCGTTGGCCAGTTGCTAGCTGGCCTTTCCTTTTCAGTCGGGTCAAACAATGCGCCCACTCTGGGACTCGTACCCAGTGCCGCTGGATTACGAATCCGGCATCTTTCCCCGAAACTGCGGAGGCGGCTTTTAGCTTTTTTCACAGCAGCAAATTCGGTGCAAATGCGGTTGAAACAGTACTGCACCCATACCTTTAAGGAAAGACAGCCCTCATTACAACATTTTGGAATTAACGAACTATTCCAGCGATTTGAACGTCCAAAATAAGTAAATATAAACGAGTATCTGAATATCCAGTGCCCAAGAGGAATCTATTTTAAAGAACATATGAACCTGGAATGTCCAAAAAGAATAAATGGGTGCAGCATTCGCAGTATATTTTCTATGCGATGCTAACCTTAGGTTCTCTGAATGCAATAAAAGTGTGCAGCCAACAGTACGCGTCCAGGCCTACAGAATGGTGTCTCAACACGCATGGAATTAATCGCCGCACTGGCGTTCACATCGGGGTTAACTCGTTTCTGCAAACGGAAAACACCCATTTCCGACACGTTTTGACAATCGAAAGACTAATCTGCGCTGCACTAATATGCTGCCAGTAACGTCGTTTTAATGCTTGGGTTTCATGAGCGTTCGTTTGCTGTTTTATGTGCACTTATTTACTCTACTAACTGTACCAGAGAAAATATTACTTTCGATTGATCAAAAACATGCGAACCATACAAAATTCCACCTGATGCTAAAATGCTTATTCTGATTTCCTTCGCAACATTCCATAAGCTACTTCGTGCTTGTTTTAATAAAGGTAGCTAGTGACAAGCTGGTAAATTCGAAACGAAAAATGAAAAGTGAGAAGTGAGTTGCAGACGCATCCCCGTGGGGCGGTTTTTCAAACGAAAACGTTTGATCTATATTGCATACTTGGAGTTCGCAATGACGACCCGTATCCACGCTCCACGCGCGCGCAACCGGGGGTGGTAAAACGTGTTGACTTGGTGGATAAGGTCGGCGAAAAAATCTCAAAAAAGAAGAAGAAAAAAAGCCAGTAATCTCGGTGACAGTCAAGATATGCGTAGAGTAAAACGATCCTCGCATTGCAGTGTAAACATGACACGTGCTACGGTTGGCTTTGCAAACAGGAACGTTTTGACTCAACTGTTCAAAGTATATTGTATTAGCGTGTATGGTTGTGCACTGTGGGACACTGTGACTGGAAAGAAAGCGTTTCAAGAGTTTTGTATGGCCTGCCACTCATGTATAAAGAAGCTGGTAAGGGTGTCACGCTGGACAAGGAACCATGACCCGTGTAGAAAGCTTGGGCTTCTTCAATGTCCCACGCTAGTAGCTAGTCGGCAACTGATGTCAAACCAAGGACTCATGTCCTGTGAAAACAGCATTGTTCAGGCATTGCATGCAAGCGAAGTAGGGGTTAGTGACGTCATTGTCAGGACACGTGTGCATACCCGATATGAGCACGATCTGACTGCATTGGACCTCCAGACAGTCAGCAGATCAGATGTTCCGAGCATCTTCATCGCCCAGCAGGGTCGGTTCGTCCGTGATCGCCACCAAATGTGTGAACTGGGTCATGACCCTGGGTGAGGTCTTCTGACCTGTCAAGCAAGTACTGAGTACTTTGCCTGCCGTCTTGTTCTGCTTGCGTGTGTGTGCTGTGTTTTTTTACTTGTGCGTGCCAAGATATGCACCAGTCTGGCGGTGCGAAACAAACTGTATTGTTACCGTTGCTATTTAACAGCCAGGATTCTATGGAACAACTACGACGAAAAATGCCTTTTCCTCCTATCTTATCGCTGTAAACATCACGAAACTTGCAGCTAGGCAATGAGTGAAGATTAAGTGCTCGCAGCAGGAGGCTGTTAACTTAAACCGACGGCACTGCCTGCCCTGAAAAACAGACAAAATGCAACCGAGAAGTCGATGCGGACAGACTTAACATGGTCAGCACGAACCACAGTCTAGACATCCAGCTTCCTGAGGTTGTCCATCACACCAGAATCAGTCTCGTTTACGAGTCGATTCAGCGGAATAGGATGGCGGGGCTTGCCTGATGGGTCGGAACAGGATGACACTTTTTTTACTGTACGCGTGATGACACAGATGATTGGCAAACCACTGCACGACGAGCCGGCGACCGAGCGGTAGGACGACCTTATTGAACGTCCCTAACCGGATTCATAATACACTCACTTTGAGTGAACTCACAGGCGCATCCTCATACATTAAGCAGGGTTTACAAATGTATTGCATCCCAACAAATCACACGAACAGCAAATCTGGTAAACATCAGGGTACAGGGCTACGTGGCGTTGTTGACAACCAGCTCTCGCCGATTTGTGTCTGCGCTGGGGTAACATAATTTTTAAGTGTCTTCACCACTAAACGTCCCTTGACCACCGCGGTATACAGGCCAATGCCTCAGTGCTGTAGCTATGTTCCCCTATTGGACAATACGCATGAGCGCCCGCCGTCAGAGCCGAGTTATTTCAACCTCTGGCTCTTGCCCTGCAGTGACCACGGCTCTGTCGATCGGGGCGTCACTCTCAAACTCAGGTGGCGCAGTCCCAGCCTTGTTGACCAGCTCGTCTAACTCCGCCGAATCGCCGCTGAGGCTGAAGAGCACGCGGCTAGGTGATGTCACGGACGGTACGTCAGAGAGCGTCTCCTGCTCAGCCAGGGGCGGCAGAGATTGCTGCTCCAGCGCCTCCAGGGACGAGATGCCGGCCTGCTCCAGCATCTGGCGGAACTGGGACCTTGGTTCGGCCGCCAGCTGCGCTGGAGGGCCCATCTCGGCAATCTGAAATCCATTCGAACACCTTATAGCCACTTAAAAACACGTAAAGAGCCTCCGACTCCAGCTACAAGTCCAATGAAATTACTCGCTGGTTCACCAGTGCCTTCATTGCTCCTTTCCTGTGCCCCTCTCCTATTCATGTTCTGCATTCTCCTCATGACCAAGTTTGGTGACCTTCTTCTGATCTCTCCGTCAACCGTTCCTTGTTCTGTTCACCAACCGTTCTCTGTTCTGTCCGCCGACCCTTTCCCTTCGTAGCGATACTTCACTAAATTGCCCACCAACCCTTTTCGGGCCCAGCTCAGTGACCTCATCACGTAGCTTCTACCCGACTCTGATACTGGTCCCTGGCTCTTTCCTGATCCTACCCAGTGCCAAACCCTGACCACGTCTAACAACGCTTGACTCACCCTGCCGGCATCCATGACCACGATGGTGCCATATCCGAGCACTGTGTTGAGCCGGTGCGCGATGGTGACCACCGTGGCGTCCTGGAAGTCCTCGTGGATGGTCCGCTGGATCAGGAAGTCGGTCTGCACGTCCACGGACGCGGTGGCCTCGTCCAGCAGCAGGATGCGGTTCTCGCGGAGCAGCGCGCGGCCCAGGCACACCAGCTGTTTCTCGCCAACGCTGAAGCTGTCTCCGTCGGACGTCACCGGCGTCAGCAGTTGCAGTGGCAGGCGCGCCACCTTGGCCTTGAGGCCAGCGCGTTCCAGCACCAGCCAGAGCCGCGCGTCCCCGTGCGCCTCGAACGGGTCCAGATTCTGGCTGTGGATCGGGGGCGAGATGGAGTGTATAGTCAAGTATAGGCCGGGGGTATGGCAGCCCAGCACGCTCATGGCGTAACGAGAGTCCTAACGTAAAGTCATGTACGGGCAGAGGGTATGACGCTTCGACAAGCACGTGGCGTAGCGGGAGTCCCAGCGTAAAGTTAACGTACAGGCAAAGGGTATGGTGGTCCAACAATCTCTTGTGGTAGGAAGAATCCCAACGAAGATGGTGCTACTCCCTAGGTAATTTGCAAACAGTTCGGTGAGGCACGAACATCAGCAGTTATATGACGACGGTTTTTATTTCCCAGTTTGTTTCTCCGCTTACTTAAAAAAAGACTTGTCCGAAATGAAGCGGCAAGAGCAGATCATGTTGCGAAAACTCTTCCGTCATAAGCACGCATAGCGGGACACGTTTCTTGCACGTGCCCAGCAGTTCTGCGTCTCTGCCGTTGCACCTACCGGATGGTGCCGGTGAAGAGCACCGGGTCCTGAGGGATCACGGCTATCCGCGAGCGCAGCTGCCGGAGGCCGATCTTGCTGATGTCGACGTTGTCGATGATGACGCGTCCCGTCTCGAGGTCCATCAGCCGCAGCAGGGTCGCGATCAAGGTGGATTTACCTGGAACCCGTGATTATAGCGAGTGCCCAGAAATATAATGTGGATCATGACTCGTGAGAAAAGCGCCTGGATCATACGGTTCATGGGGGTATTGCACAAGGAATGGCTACAGGTCGTACGAACAGAGTGTAATGTGTACCTTAACACTGAAGTTCGTGGCAATTAACAGAACTGTCGCAAGATAAATCAACTTCATTACGCAATACGCACTACCACATCAGCAGCTCAAAAGTATAGCATGAATTAGGACTTAACGTGAAAGGTAGCGGTTGCCACCATTGATGTAGACAGATGGTGTAGGGAAATGTGTCGTTACATTTGGCATCAGCAGCGAGACAGGAAAGCCATTTTCACACGCTGTACAACTGATCAGAAAAGAAACGCATATTCAAGGAACGTCGTCGGGTTGCATCGCAGTAATGCTGTTTGCCAAAAATGTTTGCTTCTACTGATGATTCAAAGATCTTTTGTGCATCAAATCAGCTTCAATAACATCTGCACGGTCGCACCAGCACGAAGGAACGGCCCAAAAATGCATTGGATACTCCTCGATCTGTTACGAATTATTCGATGAATTAGGAGACATCTCAGAGTATATATACAGACCACCGTGGTGCGCTGAACAACCGATTTGTTTACTGGAGCTGTTCCGCTGTGCGTGGACATGTGAAAAGGGGTATCATCATGGAATTTCCAATTTGGGAGATCCCGAGCGGCTCAGTACACGGCGATGACGTCACTAGAGACTTTCGGCTCCGCTGCCCCCGCTCCGCCAGATCCGTCCCCACATCGCGGCGAAAATATCACATTTGGCGCAGTGCTTAGGTGTTTCAAAGCTCGGCTTAAGCGTTAAGTAAGGGTGCAGCATTTCTGTCATATTCCTAAGGCTTGCAAGTGGGTATGTCATGACATCTGGGACATGACTGTCGTATGTGGCTTATGCCGACGGGGCGTTGCTTCCGCTGTCTTAAACTGGCGTCGCCCCGGCGTAGCGTGGCTCACCAGCGGCGATTCCTTCGCTAGCTGTGGAACTGTTGCGCTGCCGGCAATGTCTGGCGTCTTAGCGACGGAACTTTGGGCTCCGACGGTCACGACTGGTACGCCGGCGGTAGCGGGAGCTGTCCGGTGCCGGTGAACTCGAAAGAGCAGTTTTGGATCAGTCGTTTTCGCTCAGCTGACCGATCCTTCGACCGGCTGCTGCATACTTGTTATGGAAGGAGGCGGTGACTTCGCTCAAACTACTCATTGAGACGTATGGGTGTTCGCTGACGCTGCTGTCCGCTACTGGTGCGGCACGCTCCTTTTACTCTGGGTGAGTGGCCTCAGAGACTGCCCGGTCCCCTGGCAGCGAATGTCCTCAGCGACTATCCCGTCATCCCTGGCAGCGAATGTCCTCAGCGACCATCCCGTCATCCCTGGCAGCGAATGTCGTCAGCGACTATCCCATCATCCCTGGCAGCGAGTGTCCTCAGCGACTCTCCCGTCATCCCTGGCAGCGAGTGTCCTCAGAGACTGCGCAATCAGGACGTTTCCATAGACTGCTCGGTGCTCCGTTGTACAGTGGGGCAGGGGCCATGAACGCTGAGAGACCGTTCGATGCATGGTTCGGGCTCGGCTACTCACCGGCACCTGTTCGGCCGACAATGCCGACCTTCTCGCCGGCTGGGATGGTGAGGCTGAGGTCGTGTAGCACGCGCGGCAGGTCGGCGCGGTAGCGTAGGCTGACCCCATCCAGACTGATTGAGCCGAACTCGGGCCACAGCGCGGGCAGTAGACTGTTGGGCATCTCGGCCGGCGCCTCGTACTCCAGACCCTGCAGTGCAGCCGGGTACGACCAGTCACTCTCACGCTAGATATGCCACCGCCCACCAGAGCAGAAACCGAGTCACTGAGGAACACTTGGGATTCGAACACTGAAAGCACTCATTGCCTCCATTCCTACTCATTGCAAACGTGCTCCACATGTGTACTCGTAGGTGAAAAGGGGCCTCGGCAGAAGCACCATCCATGCATTGGTCTCTGAAAACCTTGGGTGCGTATTGCTTATGTCTGTTAACTCGGTTTTTATTTCATAATGCTTGAATAATGTGTGCATGCCAAATGTCACCTGTTACCTTTAAGATGAGATAAGAAATCAGCTTCATGCCCAGAAGCACATCATGATTTTGTATTCCACTAAATGTCTTGGAACACAGCGCTGTGCACCCACCTGGCAGTACTCCGAGCAGCGTTCGACGGCGGACATCAACGCAGAGAGCTCGGAACAGAGCATCACCATAAACGCCATGATGCCCACCGTGTCGTACACCAGACTGAGCATGAGGCCAGCCTCGGCCGACGAGGGGCCCGGCACCAGCAGCAACACGGCGGCAATCGTGGCGAGCAACACCAGGCCCAGCTCGTCAGCGCGCAGGCAGAACCACGAGTTGGCCAAGCGGAACGTCAGGATGGAGGAGGTGTGCTGATCCAGCAGGTGCTCGAACCTGCGCCGGACAGCACCAGTCAGCAGAAGGCCCGGCACAGTTTGACTGCTGGGAGGGCTGACGGAGCACACGGTCGTGGACACCGCGTTAGTTGGCCCAGGGGTCACAGGAGCACTGCATACCAGCCTAGGTGACACGAGAGTTATCTGTAACGCGGAGAACTACCAAAAGAAGAATGTTTGGTAACGTTTCATGGTTGACAAATAGTTCTAAATTGAGGTTTTCAACGAACGATATTACTTGTCTGAAGCTTGTCTGATCATGCATCAGATCGGAAGTAAAACTCTTCAATGGTGATTGCAGACTCTCACGAGACATGTTAGGAGTAGAACTATTAAGGGGCAGATGTCATTTAGCCAAAGAGTAGTGAATCATTGGGATGGACTACCCAACGAAGTTGTAAAGGCCCTCTCCAGGAACATCAAAAGATCTTTTTAACAAGATCTTGCGGCGTTAAGATGTGATTTATAGCCAAATCTGTTAAAGTCAGGTGATTGTTTTTGAGAATGTTTACGGAAGCTGAGGTAGGCTGACCTCGATGGTCCCTTATGGCTCTTTGTTAGTCAGATGTCTGTACGTCTATCTGTTCCCATGGATTTATCGTGTTCCGATCAGAGGTCAAAGTGATGCCGTTGGGCTGTGCCGTGGCCTACCTCTCGACCATCATGCGCTCCTTGCCGTAGGCGCGGATGACGGAGAGTCCGCCGACCGTGGAGGTCAGATGGTGGAGCACCGGAGACCGCAGCACGTTCTCGATGTGCTTCGTATTCCGGATACCGGTCACCAGACAACGCCACAGGATACCGTAGAACACTGGGGACCGGTCAGGTGGTCGTGGTGGTAAACAAATTACTGGTGGCAGTTATTTCAAGTGCTAATAAATCGCGCCAAATAATCATTGTTTGAGGTAGTACGTATGCCGGCATGCTATCTGAACTGTCTGTCACCTTCTCAAACGTAAAACATGTGCAATAAGCAAACTAGTAGCGCTGAATTTCTTCCGCGCAAACCGCTAATGACAACGCTCTAGTAAATCCACATCCAGATCGATCCTGAAAACCCCAAACCTTGTCTGCCACCAGAGACGAAGTCAAAGGGTTGTGAAACTGAAGGGGTGGTCATCCCTGCCCTTTGTGAAATCGGACCCAAGGGCCAAGGGCCTGGCGCAGACTGGGCACAAGATATTCCCTTCAGAACTTGAGAGGCCCACCTGACCAACTGTCTTTTCTCCAGTTATCTAGAAACGTTTAGAGGCCCTAGGATCGGTCAAGAGGCTATCAGAGTAGCTGGATCACCATGAAGCTCAGCTAAAATGCGACATTTCAGGGATCCGACAGATCAAGGGATCAGATATATCCCTGCAGAGCATGCATGGCAAATGCGGACTCAACTGGTCCCTCACCGAAGGTGCCCGCGACGACTAGAGCGTAGTACGGATAGGCCACTATGGGCACCATCAGCTGCACCAGCACGATCATGAGCCGCTGGGACAAGTACTCGAAGAAGTCCGGAATTCGGCTATCCACTGGAACCCACACAAACGTTTATGCAGACCGTTGCGCTGAGCTGTCTTAGTTAATCTTCGCTGGGCCATCCCAAGATGCTGCCTATTTGATTTTGTCAAACGGTGCAAGTACTCTGCGACAAACATTGGTATCAACCACCAGTTTACCATTGCCAAACGCACGAAGCCAGAGCCCAAACACCAGATGTTCACTCAAATGGGTTTGGAAAACCCATCTCAAAAACTGGGGGCACCATCGACTTCAAATGGCCGTATGGTGCCTCGGGCAGGCGAGCGGGGCCTGGACGCCCGTACCGCAGTCCATGTCCCTGGAGAGCCGGTTCAGGATGCGGCCGATAGGCGTGCTGTCGAAGAAGCTCATCTTGCAGCGGACCAGGCTGGAGACCATCTGCTCATGCACTCGTCTCGCACCACGCATCACGCAAAGGGTGAAACTCCAGGCTGCCGAAGGGACAGGCGGGCAGAAACGTCAGCTGGCGAAGCAAGTATGCCATGCCTATGGCCATGGCTGTTGTCTCTTCTTCGCGACATCGGCATCGATTTAGTTCCAAAGGATATCGCCCTAGAAGGGTGGCATTAGGTCATACATGCAGCTTTTATGCAGGGTGTTGTCATATCCTCACCACCATACGTTCAATTTTCCTTCCAAAATTTGCGAGATAAATTTGCGTGCGCCCGACGCCCGAATCTGAGAATTGCCGACCGTCAGCTGTGTAGTAGGTTTTCGACTGCGCAGCCGTACTGTAAGAAGAGTGACAGCATTGTTTGTGCCAGTCCTTTCCATGAGTACATGAAGTAAAAATATAAGTTTAAATATATATATATATATATATATATATATATATATATATATATATATATATATATATATAAGGTTCTATTTTCAAGTATCTTCTGCAGCCATCTTGGACAATACCCATTCTACTCAGCTGCGCCCAAACGTACACCTAGCACCATCAGCAGTCTGTTTTTTTAATGAGTCTTGAACGCCTCAACATCCACCGCGCAGAGCATGAATCTCGCCTTCAGACAAAAACAATTTAGACCAAGAGACAGAACGGAGACGTGAAGTGACATGATTTACGAATGATTAACGTGCACGTCATCACACGTGAAAAGGGACTAGTTAACTAAACCAGTCGGATTGAGTACGGTCTCCTCGGGTACTCTTATTTGATGGATAAAGGGTTACATTGTCTAATGTTGAGATAGATTTTTCCACGGGAAGCGTCGAACCCCATTACCGATCGCCTTCCATAAATACAATCAAGACGATTTTATCATAAAGTCAGGTGTCCACCGGGGAGCACCAAACAGGGTATTCACCTCATCATGTGCTATTCTAGCCTTATGGCTGGTGTTTACGTTCGTAAAAAGTTATGGCAGCGATGGGGTTTATGCTTGGGCAAGAGCTTACGTTAGGGATAGGCTCACGCCAGGGTAATGTCTGTCGTTTTCAAGCAGTGGCGCGCCGTGCGGGACCTGCTGCGGCTCCAGCGTCACCCCGAATACAGGGGCTGGCCGCATCCTTGTCAAGGACAGGCCACAGCATGCACGGCCACTATGTTAAGACTGGGTGCTGATTGCTTATGCCAATATGTATGTAGCGTTATAAATGAACAAGTGCTAAGAAAGTCTAGCCGATAAGTGGGTGCAGTCCTGGAAAAAAACAGTAAAGAGGGTTATTGGACAGGAAAAAAATGCCTACATCTTATTTTTGCTGTACAAGTTTGCTCTGATCTATTCCCGGTAAGACGCGAGGGCTTGCGGTAAAGCTTGTTCTACTTAGCACGGGCCTAGGACGGGCGCGGGCCGAAAAACCGCTGACAGCTGCCACCGTGTCCACAAGGGGCAGTCCTCTTACCCCAGGTGCGATGGGAACCGCTATGACCTCATATTGCCTCAGGTCCGGGCGACGGGGTCCTTCCTGGGACCAAGAGCACTCACGTCTATAGGAACCACTCACCTTCGGTCATGTACCCTGCTTACATGACGGCTGATATCCGGATCCACCATCGGTCGACCAGACCCTGATGCCGCCGAGATGCTGACGATCAGACCGTAAGGTGGATCCGGACTTCAGCCGCCGATGTATTCAAGGTAAATGGTTCGGTTTCCAACGAGAACATCACACACATGTGGTCCGTTCTGCCTGAGGAAACAGACCACCCCATCGCGAGGGTCGGGGACGAAGGTCGCGAGGCAGTTAAGCTCGGAACTGTGCGGCAGCCTCACATGCGGACTCACGTTTTCATATGCTCGTATGAATCACAAAGCTGGCCGGACAACCAACACATATCTCCTGCAGCGTTGCGGTGGTGGTTGGGGCACGCGCGACCAGCGAGCTGTAGATACCGTCTTAATGATAATAATGGTTATTATTGGAGATGCACGTTTTAACGAATAACAAGGCCATTTCATGACGGGATGCCTTTTTAGTGTCTTATCATATTACCACATGAGCGCAGTAGTGATGAGGCAAGCAACTGAACTCAGGGCCACGAAGTTCAAAGACGAGTGTCCTAGCAACTACATCACTACAGGGAGTACACCACAATCGCAACCGATGGTGGTGTAGAGTTTACCATTGGTACTGGGCTTCAGACAGATGGCACCAGGTTTGCCCAGTAATCTTCAGTAAATCAGTGGTGTGGGTGCGAAGTTCTTTTCGCCTTTGCATTTCAAGACGAACCCGTGCGGAAGGCTGAAGAGCTGCTGCCATCTACCGCCGTCCGCGCACGCGTTCCACTACCGGACGGGCACGAGGACGGGCACGAATGTCTTGTCCTCTACCTATGCTTTACCTAGAATGGTGACGAAGTTGGATTTGGATACTGGTTGACATTTTTGAACTGGTAATGCGGGCTAAAAGTGGGTAAAGTGTGAATGCGTCAAGGTAGTTATATCGCGCATGCATTTCGCTGTAATTCCAGCTCGGTAATTATCGACACTGATTTTGAGGGGCTTTGTAGTTGCGTGCTTCGTGTGCGTGACCAAAATACCGGATATCCAAAAAAGGGGCCACATTTGAAAGTCAACAATATCTGCCATTATTGACCTTAACAATCGAGCTAGAACTCTAGCAAGGCTGTATTGATTTTTGCTATAACAGATGACCACGACCGTTGCGCATACCCCGACCGAGGTGCTCGAGGTATGCGCGACCGAGGTGCTCGAGGTATAGCGCGTGCTCAAACTGTCCCCCTTACCGTCCGATTAGCAGAGCTCAGCCAGCAGGACAGCACATTTCACGATTCGGGCGCTAGTGTCACGTCCTGTTTTACAGCTTGGGCATACGTGTCATGCCGTGTTTTACGGCTCATGCGCAGGCTGGATTTTCCTGCACGCCGCTCGAATTTTCCGTCCAATACTGAAGACTTGCGGTGTCTCATGGAAGACTTGGTCTTTCACATACTTCCAAGCGAAAACATTTATGAGGGCATTGAACCCGGGAGCGCGAAGGCCAGGGATTGCCGTCATCTTGGAGGCAATGCAACACCCCAAGAGGTCCTGAAGTCATCCAGGAGCTGCCCGAGGCGCATGGGGAGGCAAGCCGTGCCGGTTCAGCGATTGCAGGTGATGAGGGAGGATGCATTTAAATTTGTTTTACGTGTCCACTGAGGGTGAAGAGTGTTTTGCAAACGAATCTTTCCAAGGCTAGAAAATGCAGTTCATTATGATATTTTTATGGGACCTCTCATACATGCTACCTTGTCACATTAGGAGGAAGTGGATCTTTGCTAGCTTTTTAACCTACAAACAGTTGATCGCTGGCTGAATTCTGCAGCGTGCGTGCAGTCCAAATCCCTGGTAACGCTGGAATCCGGCCCGTAGAGGCCCGGTCTTTACTTGGATAAGCCGGTTAACACACGCCCGGGTGGCCGGTTGCATATGACGCCCTCGTATTCGGGTTGGGTGAGGGTTGGTCAACTCAATGCACCACCTCTCACATATAAAAAATTAGTGGAGCTATAGAGTTTTAGCACCAAACCTCTAAGGTCAGAAGGCCTCGATGTAAATTCATTTGTGGGAATTTTGAGGTCCCTAGGTCACGACTCATCTGTCAAATGAGTACAAAAATGTCAAACTCGAGACCGGTGTCCGAAGTGACTATAAACTTGATCACGAAATGAGCTTTAACCTGTATACTTTTCCAAGTAAACGGTGACTCGGGATGAGATCAGGTCAGACAACTGATCCGACCTTTAAAGGGTGAAAACGGCCAACAACTTTTGAGATCATTTTGACGCTTTCACTTCAAATTAGTGCCACCACTGCGCTACTTGCATGTTCCACATGAAAAAAGGGTTTATCCGGGCCGTTTCAGTTCGGTGACTTCCATGACCTTCATAAAGTCAAACCAAGAATGTGAGAACGTCCATGTGATGACTATCTTGAAAAAGAAAGTAAAAGCATACACAAGAGGCAAATTTTCAGGCCCTTGCCATTTGGAGTTGAACTTAATTTGTCATTTATACGCTACCCAAGCAGAAAACAATTATCATTTCGATTTAACTTATATAAATTTCTAACGAATCATCCCCAAATTCAATGCCAGTGACCAATGCTTCGTTACCCTACATCGAACGTTTCCTAAAAATTGTGTTTTTGCTGAAAGACGGATAGAAAGAAAGACAATCTGACCTGATACAGGTCAGCGACCGGAAGCAGGTCGAGGTGAGATCAGAGGTAAGCCTAATGTTCCATACCCAAGGATCTGCTATTTAAATATTTACAGCTTCACACAAATTGGCGTGCCATGCCACGCTTCTCCTGAGGTATTCAGTAAAAGCGTAATGGAGGGTTCAAATTGACAGTCTGCTGAGCACATGTTAAGGACTATGATTTCTCTTAACACGCTCATGGTGCGTTGGTTAGAATCCTACTTCTGACAAAAGTTTTACGCTAACACGAATTAGGAAAGCAATTGACACTTCAAAGAAACATGCTGGTCTTATGGCACTCGTATAAACTCGCTATGAAACCCATCATCCAGTTACGCAATATCTGATTTGGTTGGTTTCCTTGTCTCTGAGACTGGTAACTCTGGTAACACAATTGATATGATTGCAACTACACCGACTTTGGTTTCATATGAACTGTAACTTCGCTCTAGCTCTATTACTCCACCTTCGATGTAACGAAGCATGACTGTTCCAGTGCTGGAGACGGCCTGGTAGCCGGCAGCAGCAAGGTGGGATATTTCGACGGGCGTTCGGTGGGGTGCGTTGCACACACTCATATTTTTCCGTTCAAGTTCGCCGCAGTAACCGGCCAACTATGTGTGGAACACTTGGCTGGCGGTATGGTCTAGCCAGATGCATACGTAACTCCAATTACGAAGGCAGCTGCTATACCGGGTGCTGAGATATATAGCGAGTTCTCTGACACTAGGCCTCAGTTCACGTGCGCTGACCTTTCACAAGTCCACACACGAAGAGGGCCAGGACGGTGCCGGCGTATCCGACCGTGTAGAGGTCTACGTTGGCGCTGTCGTTGATCGCTCCTGTCAGCTCGTCCTTGGTGAAGGTCATGTTGTACAGCGTCACGTTACGAAGACGTTCTTCCTGGGAACAGACGGATGGAGGTGGGCGTCGCTGACCGTACCGGCTCACATTACGAGACCTGGATACATTGTAAGGGCGTCCCCGACTGTACCGGGACACACTTCCGGGCCTGGATGCATTGTAAGGGCGTCCCCGACTGTACCGGGACACACTTGGGGCCTGGATGCGTTGTAAGGGCGACCCTGACTGTACCGGGAGACACTGCGGGATCTCGATGCATTGTAAGGGCGACCCTGACCGTGCCGGGACACACTACAGGGCCTGAACGCATTGTAAGGGCGACCCTGACTGTACCGGGAGACACTGCAGGATCTCGATGCATTGTAAGGGCGTCCCTGACTGTACCCGGACACACTGTGGGGCCTGAATGCATTGTAAGGGTGTCCCTGACTGTACCGGAACCCACTGCAGGGCTTGGATGCACTGTAAGGGCGTCCCTGACTACCGGAAGACACTGCGGGGTCTCGATCCATTGTGAGGGTGTCCCAGACAGTACCGACACTGTGGGGCCTATATGCATTATATGGATGTTTCGAATGTATTCGATAGTTCGGCAGCGGGTTTGGACACATGTTTCCAGGTTGAATGATGCGTTCGGGTAGTGGGGAACTTTAAATGTTTGAAGTACTGAAAAGTATTCCTTTTAAGGACACCAGATTTGCAAGACCTTAAGTTCTTATATCAAGATTGCTCAGAAATATGTCAGGCCAGTGGCCTCTTCTGATCCTGAAAAGGCCAACGTGAAACAAATACTTTGATCTCGTGCTGTTATTTGAAGTAATAGCAGTGCCAATAATTGCTTTAGACGGCAGGTTTTTAGAAGAAAAGGTTCGGTAAGGTTGCTATGGGTCAATGCCCTACACTGGATTTCAGCAAGTCATTATCATAAATTTGTTGATGCCTCTTCGCCAAATAATTCGAAATGTGCGTAACAAACTATTTTATAAACAAAGAAAATATCTTACAAACTACCCAACAAACAACTTTTCCCACTCAAAATGTTTTCCATTTATACCGTCAAGCTGACCTTCATAACTGACTTAAGGCCAATATTATCACTTTAAACTATCAACTCAACTGATCCCAAATTTAAAAAAGTATGTTCACATTCTAGTGATTAATAATTCGAAATGTTCTGGACCAACGAACTCACAAACAAAGAGAACACTTTAAAAACAAGGAAACTACCTTGCAAACAATTTTCTGCTCAAAATGTGGTTTATTTATGCCGTCAATTTGACCTTCACAACGGACTTCAGGCCAATAAAATTAGTCGTAATTATCATCTAAACTGAACGGTTTTCCGGAAAGCCATCCGAGTTTCATGCTTTCGTCAAAAACTTCCTTGTCATGTGAGCTGGATAGCTGCCTTGTCTGCTTTTCAGTTAGTGGCCTTATAGCTGCCTTATCTGACTTGGGCAGCGACCTTTAAATACATTTAAGTTGGTTGCACTACACGGTCAGATATGCATGGCCTACCACTATGAAAAGCCTAGAGTCCCTACGCTGCTCTGCTCTGGTGTTATTTTGGAAAAAGCGCTCAACATTGAACGAACATTTGTGCACGTATGGAATCCCCTTTAAAAGGATGTTTTCCCACTTTAAGCTGTTCTATGTGAAACACCGGATGTAATTTGTGTTTGTACCGGAGTGTCTATGTCGTCTGTCTTGAGCTCATTGTTTTTTTGTTTCTTGTTTTTGCCGACTTGTGTGTGCATACATTGTGTGCGAGTAGGGACTCTACCTTGCGTCCGTCGCCGGCGTCGATCCAGTACTGCAGATAGAGGCCGCTGCCGGTGCGGCAGCAGGCGAACAGCACCGTAAGAAACGTCACCAGCAGCATGCCACACACGCCGCAGTACTGAAACGGACGTAGTCAGCACTGAAATAGGTCCAGCTAAAGCTGAAAAAGGCAGAGCGGGTCGCCGGGCGCCAGGACGTTAAGTCAGCACAAAAACAGGTCCAGCTAACGGTAAAACAGGCACTCTGTGTTAGGACGAGACCATCGGTGACGCAAGCACAACGCCCAATAAGCCCAGCGATGAAACAGGCAAAGACCGCATGACATTGGTCCATCTAATGCTCAGACAAGCACCGGGCACGCATACTGCAAAGGCGCAGGCAGTATGTCGCGCAAGCCGCGATGCCAAAATCGGGCGTCGATGGGGGACCGGGTCTTAATGCGTCGTCAATGCGCAGCAGACCACAAATGACACGCCGCGCATATCACGGTAATAAAATGGACATACTGGATTGAAATACGCCCAAATACTATTTATCAGGCAAAGGCAACAATCACCTTATCTTTGGAACACATCAAACCTGGGATATACAGCTATACACCCATGAACCTTATCAAAGTAGCATAAACAGGATCGGAAATGCACACAAACTAGTTTTGAAACTTAAAAACTCAGATAGGACAGAAGTAATATCCTTATTCCTCGGAGAAAAGCCGGGAGAAATGAAGATATATATGGGTTGTTGACCTCGTTAAGACCAGTAAACCATTGTGTGAATAGACTTCTGCTATTGTTTTGAAAAAGGCACGTTGCCGAAATATTAACCAATCTATATCACTATTCTCCTTATTTTTTTCTGCGAGGAATAGGGCTATTGCTACTGCCTTATCTGTGTGAATAATGTTCCTTGCAAATGCACTGAACAGCTGACGTAAAATACACATCTTACAAGGATAGTAAGAAGTTGCTTTTAAAAAGATGTTTGGGTAATATTTCTGATGATCAGGGTTCAACGTGGGCAGGGAAAAGACAAATTGTTGGGAAGAAGACACCGAAACGAGATACAAAGCTTTACCTGCAGATTCCAACCGCAATAATACCTGATAATAGGCGGCGAAATTCTTAAATAGACCGATGGTAGAGCCGAACGTTTCATCTGATGTGAACTTCCCGCCTGCTGTTCCTGTTTCTGAAAATAAAATAGAAGACCAGGGTACCACCATTCTCACAACAGCACCTGCCGACAGATAGCCGATAAACTACCGTTAATACGCTGGCCATGGTCAGCACCCTGATGACTCTTCGTCATAGCTCTCCTTCGCCGACGCATTCATCAAGTGCCCCAGCCTCCGTTACCACCAGCCTAGTCTCAGCCAGCGGCCTTTGCCGACACCTTCCCCGCAAGCCGCGTGTATTCTGCTATTTTCCGTGACGTAGCCTTCATCCGCTATTAATATCCCAGCACGCTTCGCACCTCCTGATACGATGCCCGCCACGGACATACTCTGACCATGCTCTGACCATGCCCTGACCCCGTCGTCATCGCTTCCGAAAAGTCTACACCCTCCAGCGGCGCACTGTTCACGGTGTGTTTACCACCGTTGACATGCACACCACGTCGCATGTTGACATCGCAGTGCATACCATCGGCGCCTGCTGGTTCCTGGGCCTGTTCGGCCGGCTTCTGCTGCTGCTGACTGGCGGCGTCGCAGCTGACCAGCTGGCAGTAGTCGCCCTCCAGCTCCATCAGCTGCTGGTGCGAGCCCCGCTCCGCTAGCCGGCCGTCCTTCATGAACAGCACCTCGTCACACCGCGACAGGTACTGGAACAAGACACGGCAGGGACCAATGTGAGGGGACGCAATCCCGCAGATGCACACGCCCCATCGGGGTCAGGACGCTGTCTGGACCCCATCACTGTTTGACAATGATGCCAGAAGTGTTGATCATGCTAACATGACATATGGTGAACAGTTACATGGCGATGAACACGCTCCCCGTTACGCTAAATGTTCCACGTGCTGCAAAATGTTCCGTTAAGGTCGGTGAACATAGCTGGAGTAGGCTGTATCCTCCACAAACGGCGGTGTGCCAAATCCATTGAAATGCGACACGCTGACAACGTTTCGTGACCAAGCTTTCCCGCTCATAAGCCTGTGTGCGTGCAAAACGACTGGGGTACCACGCCATAGGCCTCCGGCACGATTGTACTGTTGAGTACGAAAGTGGTGATGGTTCGTACAATCGCATGACGAGGTGACTTTTCTGCAAGAAGTGGACTAAGGCTATGCTTAGTTAAAAGATCGACATTTTGATATCATACCATGGATGCGGGGGCCTTATCTGCAGCACCACAAACGTTTGAACCCGCTCTGCAGAACTTTAAATTGCGACTCGGTCTCCAGTCCGGTAATCCTACCTCCAGTGATGTAACCACAGGATGCCTAAGGGGCGTTACGCAACCCAGTAAATGTTGAAGGCGCAACGATGTGAGATTTTGGTTTCCTGTGCTCAGTTTTAGCATTGCAACTACCTTTGTATTGTTTATCTCGTTTTTATCTATTTTGAGCATTTTCGCACCATAAGCTGCGATTTCGTGAATTACGGCACACCTGCTGTCATCGCTGTTGCGAGCCATTATTTGATTTACCGCCACGTGCCATCAGCCTACAAAGTTCGCTGATCGGACTACAATGTTTTAAATCGTGATTTGTTTTCAAATGCAGCGTTTAAGGGGAGTATCCCACTTTTACAAGGGGGTTTAATCTGAAATAACTTGAATTAGCTTGACTAAAAATAACAGTGAAATGCTTTGAACACAGACCCATTCACGCCAAATTTTTGAAGTCGTCTGCAAATAAAGGTTGCGTGGTGTAGCAGGCGTGGGGATGGTCTAAGAAAGGCAGAATTAGAGAAACTGTGTAACAACAGTGGGATGAAATGGCGCATTTTTAACGAAATGGCGAGGTCCTAATGGAGCTAATGAGAGAGTTTCAGTCTGCTCACTGCACCGCTTACTCTACCCACTCACATCCGCACAGGCTTCACCTGAACCAGTTGTAAAACGATCCAGTTACTTTTCACGGGACACATTCTCCGGCACTCTTCACTTTTCCCACGCCCGCACTTTTAGCGACGCACATCCACCAACGACCTAACATGCAGCAGGTGCGATCCCGCCCCCCCCCCCCACGCATGTACCGCGTGCGCACCATCCCGCCTGCATCCCCTACCATATCGTCCCACGTGCACCCTGTGTGACGTCATCCCGCACGCTCTCTGCGCCTCGCTCCTTCACCTGCACCCCGTGGGACATCATCCCGTCCGGGTCTCACCTGCACCCCATGTGACACCAGCACGACGGTCTTGTCGCGGAGCGCTCCGCGAACGCACTGGTGGAAAATGTGCTGCCCGACGGAGCTGTCGACGGCACTGAGCGGGTCGTCCATCAGGTAGATGTCGGCGTCGGCGTACACGGCGCGCGCCAGGTTCACTCGCTGCTTCTGACCGCCACTGCCGGGCGGCGCGCCCAGTCACATCAGGCTGGCCTTCAGGGCCGCGCGGTCAAGTCAGGCTGGCCTCCAGGGCCGCGCAGTCACGTCAGGCTGGCCTTCAGGGCCGCGCAGTCACGTCAGGCTGACCTCCAGGGCCGCGCAGTCACGTCAGGCTGACATCCAGGGCCGTGCAGTCACGTCAGGCTGACCTCCAGGGCCGCGCGGTCAAGTCAGGCTGGCCTTCAGGGCCGCGCGGTCAAGTCAGGCTGGCCTTCAGGGCCGCGCAGTCACGTCAGGCTGGCCTTCAGGGCCGCGCAGTCACGTCAGGCTGACCTCCAGGGCCGCGCAGTCACGTCAGGCTGACATCCAGGGCCGTGCAGTCACGTCAGGCTGACCTCCAGGCAGCTCTACTATGGATGCTGGACTGTGTTGTAATTATGGTCGTGGCAGCAAATCTGAGGCGCGGACGGCCTTGGAGGTACAAGATTTCCATATGTGACAATGTAACGAATAGCAGGGAGTAACACAACGAGAGAGAGAGAGAGAGAGAGAGAGAGAGAGAGAGAGAGAGAGAGAGAGAGAGAGAGAGAGAGAGAGAGAGAGAGAGAGAGAGAGAGAGAGAGAGAGAGAGAGAGAGAGAGAGAGAGAGAGAGAGAGAGAGAGGGAGAGAGAGAGAGGGAGAGAGAGAGAGAGAGAGAGAGAGAGAGAGAGAGCGAGAGAGAGAGAGAGAGAGAGAGAGAGAGAGAGAGAGAGAGGGAGAGCTCTGTGCCTTCCGCCGGATGTATACCTCGCTATACGGCCGAAAAACAAACTAAACTTTACCTTCGGCGCACGGAAACTTGGCAGGGGCAGGCCAACCACCAAGTGGCGGAGTGGAAGGCCTAACATAAGAAGCAACATCACTACCCACGCCCCCCCCCCCCCCTCTCCTTCCATATGACTGTGCACCGGAAGGGCACCATCGTGTTCGGCACGTCGACCATGGGCAACACGGAGCGGGTCGACTACCCAGAAATCAGAATAGCGGCTGTTGAGAATGCGGTTGTATCTGTGCCTGCGACAGACAGCATCTACATCGCCCACGGCTCCTCCACCCCACCCACCCCCCCCCCCCCTCCCCTCCCCCAGAAGAAATTAATACCGCTGGATTTTCCATGGACTCCTTCTCTCTCGTAGCCCGCCTCAGAAGGGTTGCAGGAGCAGAGGCTGGGAAACTATCTCGAAGGCATGGTCATCCCTGGCCAGCCTGAGTTTGCATCACAAAAACGTCCAAGTTTGTCTGGGCTCCGGCCATGCAGAACTCGGAAAGCAACGAGAAGGCGGGAAAAGCGGTCATGAGGGCTGCCGGCTAACCCAAGAAAACTGGGCATCCACCTCCAGTCGGCTAAAGCGGGTCTCCGAAGTGCATGCCTGAAGAAGTACCTGGGCACCTACTCCACGAATATATCCACAGGAGAGCGTCTAATTTCGAAAGCCTGAAATAGGAGGAGGATTGGTCCCGACGCGAACGAGTGATACTGTATCAGCTCCGCACCTCTCCATGCCTGCCGGTCCGTCCTACGCCGCATCGGTGGAACTGCCTGGGGAACGACGGCTTGTGCCCGGAGTGTGGGGTGCTTGAGGACACTGAGCGCACCATCTGTTACTCTTAACTCTACCAGACGGCTGATTCGGTCCTTGTTACTCTAACGCTGGTGGGGATGCGGGACGACCCAGACGCCGTGGAGACACTTCCTACTACGGACTGGCCTCCAGCAGGGGTCTGATGATCGGCCTGCTGAATTATTCAGAGAGTAAAAGAAGGGAAAGTAGAAAGCCTCGCATTGGCCACATCCTGACTTCCTGTCACGACGATCGTGCACTCGATGATGAATGACCAATCAGCAAGGTGTGATCTTATTCGTACGCTAGAACATTCTTGCACAGATACCCTCGGTGCCAGCTCCGGTAAGCATGTCGAATGCAGACGAACGCTTGCTGGGTCAAAACAGCGCGCACACGAGAAGGCTGAACGCAGGTTGAAGCACTAACAGCACTCCAATAAATGGTAGGAGCAGGGCGGCAAAAAGATAACGACAGGAACTCTTCCATTCTGCGGTGGGTCAACGCCAGCCCGAGCGTTGTGCCTGGCTGCATTCCGCATGACCCAAGGAGGACGTCTCGCTTGACCTTAGTTTGATATCGGAATGGCTACCAGATCTTGACGACTGCTTAACACGACATTATCATGGGGGTGACCTGTGGTAGATTGAGACTTGGTATACTGTATGTACTACCTGTTGCGTCTTAGTGTGTCATGGGACAACCTGATCCGCGAACAGCAACATACCAGACCCAAAGTTTGCTAGCGTTGAGAACGACGCCAACGTGAATTATGTTGACATGAGATTATCTTGACTTGAAGGCTATCTGATAATCACATCAGGTTCACTTACCAGAGGTTGACGCCCAACTGGTGGGATCAACGCACTAGGGTGACATTCAGCGTTCTAAGGTTGTCACTACACCTTACGCGAATTTGACGCCCCCTTACATTAGGTTGGCCAAACCTCGCACAATGCTGACACCATGGGCTGAAGTAGACCAGACGTCACCAAAGGCTTATCCGACAAACTGAAGCTCTCCTGTCCTGAGATTCATTGACACGGGCTTTACGTAGAATTGTCTGGCGGTTGACTGACCGGAGGTTGACCAACAGACCCGACTCAGGCCGGACTCTGGCCCCTGACCTGCCACTGACTTCAGCCGCAGCCGACTCACCTGAGGTTGACGCCGCGATCTCCGATCTCGGACAGGTCGCCGTGCTCCATGAGTGCCAGGTCTGGCCTCAGCGCGCAGACGGTCAGCGTGCGCTGGTACAGATCGGGCAGCATCGGCCGGCCAAACAGAATGTTGTCGCGCAGTGTGCCGCTGAAGATCCAGGCGCGCTGCGGCACCACGGCCATGGTGCCGGCCCGTCGCACGTCGCCGCACAGTACGCGGAGCTGTGGCCACGGCACGGTCGTCAGCGGGTCGCGTGGCAGATCTCTGACTCTTGTTTGATAGTTGGGGCTAGTAGTTACCCCAAATGTGTCAGAGCATTTTGCGAACCATGTTAATATCAACCTTGTACGTCTAAAACGTCGACATATTCGAGACGGCAGCTTGTTCGCCAGTTTTACTCGACCAACCACTTTTACCAACACCTGCAGGACACAACAGCTTCCATTCGTACACAAAAAAACACCAGCGGCAGTCCAGTCTTTCAGCAAACCTTAGACGAGGTCAGACCCATGTGATATGCAGGCGAACTGAAATTTTCTAATGATTTACTAATCACGGACGAATATAGCATCGCGCGACAACCGTGACTACCTGTTTGAGGCCATCAGAAAGATGGAGGTCGCCTTTCCATATTGGGAGCTGGCGAATAAGACGATGCATTGCTACACGCACACAATTGCATTTTCAGTGCAAGTTTTAAACCACATTAGCGACAACAGTACGGCGATGAAACCAAAAAGTCATTGCTGCAATGTCTGGTATACCATTTGGATTAGTTTAATAGCCTGCTTTCCAGGGATGTCAGTATATCTTAGAAATTTTTGGTTTAGCGCGTTGATGACAGAATTTCCTGACCAGCTGGCAACAGCTCGTAGCGTATGGTGCATCGCAGTCGAGCAGAGAAGACCCTGTTCAATACATTTAGGGAGGTGGGCATGTAGTAGCCAGTGACCGGCCACTGTTTGCCGCCACACAACAACTGCAACAGCCGCAACATTCCCACGACTGCAAGCAGCATGAGGAAGAGGGAATGCATCAAGCAAACTTCGCTTACTTATTGATAGGTAACCATAAGCGAGTACATTTTTCTCGCACAGCACATTTTTCTCGCACATTTTTCTCGCAAGTGGTTTGTAGGCACGTCGCGACGAGATGCCTTCCAGCCCCATCCCCCCCCCCCCCTCCCTCCCGCCGCCGCTGCGCCCACCTGGCCAGTCATGGCGACCAGCAGTGAAGTTTTGCCGCTGCCGACCGAGCCGGCCACCCCCAGCAGGCGGCCGGCCGGCACGCTCAGGTTGACGCCGCTCAGCACCACGTCCGTCTGCGTGGCCGCGTCGGCGTCGAGGCTGAGCTCGGCGCTAGCTGGCCGGCGGCGCCGCTCGCTGAAGGCGCGCAGCCGGCTCAGCAGCGGCGCCTGAGGCGCGGTCGGCAGCCGTGGCGACGAGATCAGCCGCGGCAGCGACTTGGCGGAGCGAGACCGCTCCTCGCGCTCTGAGGGAGCCGCGGCGACGAGATCAGCCGCGGCAGCGACTTGGCGGAGCGAGACCGCTCCTCGCGCTCTGAGGCAGCCGTGGCGACGAGATCAGCCGCGGCGACGAGATCAGCCGCGGCAGCGACTTGGCGGAGCGAGACCGCTCCTCGCGCTCTGAGGCAGCCGTGGCGCGGGTGCATGGCGACGGGTGAATACACACCGGAGTGCGAGAAGTTTGGCGATTAACGTCCATGTTAGGGTCGACAGATGCATTTGGTGGGATCTTCTGACGCGTACATCATACAGTATGCATAACGTAGCGATTATAAAAGTACAGCATCTGTGACTACATAAAGGTTTTTGCGCAGCTTTCGTGTTCTAAATACGCCATAATCTTGATATTTGGTGACTTTTCTCAGCTTTGCATTGAGGGTGCAACGCTGTTGGTTGTACTCCTATAAATGCACTAGTGTATGTTTTGTCATATTCTACAAAACTTCAGTCGGTACGCTTCCGATACTTCCAGAAAAATGTTTTGTTTTAGCAAAAGACACATCCCAGTGCATGATTGTAAGCATTTTAGCACCGACAGTGGGTATGAAGATGGATTTGTTGATGTCATTCCCGATGCCCAGAGCGTTGGTGGAACCCTTAAAAGTAAAAATAGGCTTTGCCAGGAAGTTGGACATAGACTATGCGTACTTTCAAGCTGGATATTAGCCTCACACTTCACGCGTTCAATTCAGCTGTGAGCATTTGTTTAAAGGAGGACACCAACGCAATGATGCATCTGGCATTGACATAGCACAATTTTGCATGCTTCTGAATACCTTAACACGCACCCGGATAGCCGGCTGAATATCCTTTGCTTGGGTAGAGGGTCAATTTGACCCCGCTGGGATCTCAGAAACTAAGGGAGCTAGATACACAAGATTCACTCGGTGTATTGGCCTGCGTATGAACTCACTTGTGTTAAAATTGGAGATTCCTAAGTCATGACTTTCGGGTCAAATTGGATAAAATAAGGTCGAACGCAAGATTTGTATCCAAAGTGTCACCAGAACCTAGATACCAGTCTTAAGCAAAAGGTCACCGGTGCTCATTGAGGGTCAGTGACATTGTTTGGCCTTTCAAAGGTCATCGTTTCCAAAATTATAGACCGCTTTTGGTTTTGCATTTTAATAAGCGTCAAAGATTACGCTATATGGTATGCTCCTCAAAACAAAATGTTGACCTGGGCCAGTTTAGGTGAATGACCTATTCTGGCATTTAAGAAGTCCATAGGATATGCATAATACGGTTTCCCTTATCAATAAATTTGAAATAAGCACCAGCAGCTACCCTATGCAGCAAGCTCTATATTGAAACAACAGGTTGGCTTTCAGCTTGGTCTGGCCTTCATATCTGACTAGATCGATGGAGTTTGTTCATTCAGATGTTGTGTTGCCTAAGTATGGATCTCAACGGTGTATGCCCACATCTAACGCTACGTTGTTGCTTAAGATTGAAAGATTCCCTGGAAGCATTCTTTGCTGAATCCATAGCTTGACTTTCGCTTGCCGTAGGCCAGCGACCTTACAAGGTAAGACCAAATTTGTTTACATTAAACAATCCACCACTCAAACCTGGAGGGCGGGGGTGAATTGACCCCTACCCAAGAGTGCGTTAAGATGTTCAAAGTGCCTTTCAAAATTTACGAAAACGAACCTCTCCAATTGGACAAGACTATGGTAATACTCACGGTCAGTAATTTTGGTAAATGATTGGGAAGCAAGCTCAGGCTTTTGTCACGGAGTGGGGACCATTGGAGCCAAACTAATCTCCCTCAAATGTCTTTCTCAGATAATCGGGCCTCTTCATTTTGCATGCTAAGCAATTTCATTTTTAATTATGTGTCTTTGACTAGATCGTCCTTTACCTGAGGAGCTTACAAGTCACCACCAGCAAACAATGACCAGATCAGTGGGTAATATCTACTTCAATCAAGTTGTGTGACATTTTATCAGCTTGTAGAAACCAAACCAACATAAACACTCGCGCGGTTCACCACTTAAATGCGACGCGCTTAGCTAGGGGTCGATATGACCCCCGGAGATCCTAAAAACTAGCACAGCTAGAGGCATCAAATTCACGGGTGGGCATGCCTCTACGTGAATTGACTTGCGACAAATCACTTGATCTGGGTGTGACCTTCATGCCTGCCCCAAGGCAAATGGAGTTAGCGATAATCCCAAATCCGATCGGCTAAGTGTCTAAGAAACAATTTAAGAGACGTACGGCTTCGTCTAACACTCCGTTGTCACATTAGATTGAGCGATTCGCCAGGAATTTTATTCGCTAAAGGACATAGCCTGGCTTTGACCTGCCATAGGTTAACAGCCTTGCAAGGTACTTATTATTTTCTATGATAAAAGGTTCGCTATTGAATTGTCTGCAGCTCTGCGATGCTTAGTCTCCTATATCCAAGCGAAAAACCGGCCGGATATTGTTCTGGAAAACCTATTCCGGGATCGAATTGCCCCTCCGAAAGGGAGCACGTGATATGGCCTTATCGGCTCAAAAACAAATTGGCGTGCGGGACGGGAGGGGATATCCCTCATAGTTACACAGGTCAACTCCCACGATCATGTACATCACTGTCGCAAATCATCTCTCTTTCAAGGTCTCTTGTCTAAACCGAGATAAAATGCATGGATTCGTGAGTGCTCAGAAGGCAAGTGACTTGAATAGAAATTCTTTGATCCCATATAAATGCGTCTCTGACAAATATCTGAACTTCCAGGAAGGCATGGAGGGTGGGGATGGGGAGAACATCTGGCAGAATTACAGACACCTCTTGAAAATGAAAATGAAATTAAAATGAAATAAAAAAATACGGACACCTCCTGGAAAGCGAGTTAAGCTGTTCGGTGAACCCTTGACATAGATGCAAATGTGAAGACTTGTCCACAAAATCAATGATTATCAGGGGCTAAATTCGGGACCATAAGACAGGCTCACTTTTTTCGCTCTTGCCCTTCTTGCTGACGGGTCTCTCCCAAGCAAATGTGGCGTTGACGATTTCAATGGCACTGCCCGAGTCGCAGTGAGTCAGGTTCACCTCGATGTCCTTCATCAAGAGCAGGCGCTGCAGGCAAGGTCCCAATCATCATCGACAGCGACACCTTGTGCTTCCTAAGCAGACACATGAAACTACTCGAGACATGCCACCACCATTTTTTTTAACTTGAATTTTGAGCACTGTAGTTTTTTTTTCGTGGAATGTACGCTTGCCACGATGCCCCATTTAAAACGCCATTTTCAGTTCAATCTGTCTACAGGCGAAACATAGAGAGGCCTGAGAAAAATGCTAAAGGTAGAAATAGCCGTAGGATGTGGATGGGCCATGTACATATATATATATATATATTATATATATATATATATATATATATATATATATATATATATATCATACATATATTTATATAATATACTATATTCATGTATGCTTCATATAGGTTACATGAATATATATATATATATATATATATATATATATATATATATATATATATATGACCCCCTGGCCCTTGCCGCGATCAGGTTTTCTTTCATGCATTGCTGGTTGCACATTCCAGCAAATTTCGTGTTTACGGCTTTCTTTGTAGCTTGTTCAAGACTTCGTATGGCGCCTTTGCCGCTTTCCTTGAGTCCATTTAGGGTGCTCCAGTGTGCTGTTCGGGACTGTGAAACCCGCAAAGAAAACTACATCGGTCTGACTACAACTTTGAGCTGAAGTTAATCACAAATAAGATGCGAATCAACGCGAGATGGTTAGAAGCGGTGCAAAACCGACCCTAACGGCGCCTTGTACTTGCGGAGGGGCACCGAAACACATGCGCATTCACTACACCCATTCAACAGGAATGTCTTAGCCATGGACACTATCATGCTTGCTCATACCACAGGCCATGGACGCCTTACCATACTTGAAGCATCATACATCAGGGGCAAGGCAATCATCATCAACATATAAAACATCTTACGTACTTGCCACTCCACAACATGCGACTGATAGAAAACCCCTCCCCCGTCCCGTTATGCAATCCTAGAAGACCAGTAGTCTTTTAACCCGACATGATGAAATGTAAAGCTGCGAACCATACAGAGGTGTGTCTGGAAGTAGAGCATGCAGCATGCAAATGTTTTTATTTGAAATGCCACAAGCATGCATTTTGTACAAAAAACATTATACCGAAATTTGTATGTGTGCTACGCTTGTGATTGCATGTTTAAAGCATAATAATTATCTCGAAAATGATCGCAGGACTGATTGGAACGCTGAAAAAATAGATGAGCTCTGGTAACATTCTGTATCGGCACACCTAACACGACAAACGCACCATACGAGACATTGATCACTCCACTAAAACGGTCACAAACGCGGAATTTGCTGTGGTCTACAGTAAAAAATATATAGATTATCCCTCACTCATGTTTGACCCAAAATTCCGATTTATCTCCCACTTTCAGAGATGTAGTTACATTCATGGAAAGATAACCCATTTTCTGGGAGCATCTGAGCTATTCATTTTGCGAGATTGATGACGATCCTTGAAAAAGTCGTCAGACATGCGTTGGATAATTTTGGTCTGCAAAAAGGGCTCTTTGTTTTCGTTGCGATGTTAGGTTTGCCGACACCCTTATCTTAAATGCAGCTGCGAAGTTAATAGCTTGCTCAAAAATTCATGTACCTGGATTCGTCTCAGGCACACATGTGTCTCAGTGATCATTTTGATTCCGTATGGCAGCGTGCCAACTGCCATCTGCAGGGCGTTGAAGACGGAGAACATGGTGAACGCCTCGGCAGCCCGCAGCTCGTTTCCACTGGCGCTGGAGCACATGCAAGAAACGCGTACCAGAAGTCGTCAGAAGAAACGCGTGTCTTTACACAGCTGACAACCATATCCTCACATGCTTTTTGCGCTTGCCATTTTAAAGATTAAAAGATAGTATCGTCAACGTTTAACCACAGTGGTAAACGAATTGTCCGTAAGACAAACAAAGCTCTTGCGTATTGTTAATAACAATAATGAACGGTCCAGCTGGGCGATTGAGCACAACGCAACGACATTCCTTCTACATTCCCAAATCCCCTTTTGTTCGTCCGTTATTTATCCAATTCCCTGGTTGCCCGCACAGGTTTCGCCGCATTCGGCCCTGTTCCTGGTCATTATGTCTTACATGTAGCCGATGACGGACACGGCGGTGGCCAGGATTGGGATTATCGGCGCCGAGAAGTTAGACATGGACTGCAGGAACGTGACCTCCTTGATGACACTCATCTCCTCCTTTCTAATATCCTCGATCTGTGACGCACAGCGAATCGCATTAGAAACACGTTTAACTGTCATTTCAAAGGCATCACAGACACAAATGTGTTTTGCACTCATGACGCCTAACTTATTGACTTCTATGAGCCACTGTTTTTTGCTGTCGCATTCAATATACCGTAAAACACATCTGGTCGCTTTTTATGTAGCAAGTATGGTGAATTGCTGCACTTTTGACAACGAAATATTATTTTCTCTGCTTCGTAAAATGTTATGATATCATGAACTACAAAGACGTTGCACGCTAGCGGGCAGCGGAAAAATGGTTAGCCTACTATCAGTACAGTGACAAACGCTGCAGACCACTTTCGAACAGGGCACACTCACCTTCTTTTTAAAGCTCTCCTCCCAGGCATACATTTTAATGAGCCTGATAGCGGCTAGGATCTCCGACATGAAGGTAACCCGTCGGTCAGTGATGGTCACAACTGCTACTCGGCGAACACTCATCATCCCTCCAAAACTGCCCTGGAAAAGATGATCTGAAGGTGAGCTGCCAACCAGCCACGGTCACCATAGGCAGACAACCTACAATAATCAATAAAATTGCGCCCCAACACGCGCCCGGGTGGTCAGCTAGATATCCTTTGCTCGGGTGGGGGGTCAGTTTGATCCCCTGAGAGATCATCGGGAACTAAGAAATCTAGATACAGCAAATTCACCGAGAATGTGCCCTGTACGTGGCCTCACTTAGGTCAAAGTTTATACATTCCTAGTCATGAATGTTCAGCTCAAATAAGGTAAAACAAGGTCAAATTCCAGGCTGGTCTCCAAGTTGCACCCACGCCTAGATAATGTTTTGTAAGCCAAGTTCATAAGCTCATGTAATTCAGTGAGCTTGTTTACCTTTGAAGGTCATGGTGGCCAAAACCATAGAAGACTGCTTTGAGTTTTGCATTTGAATAAGCGACAGAAACTAGGCAGCATCTTCCTAAAAACAAAATGTAGACCTGGGTTATCTTAGGTCAATGACCTATTCTGACCACTAAAAGTGAGTGGAAGATGTATAATGCGGTTTCCTGTTATTAAATAAATCAAAATAAGCACCAGAAACTATCTCATACAGCAAGCCCTATAGTAATTAAAACAGGTTGGTTTTGACCTTGGTCTGACCTTCATACCTGACCTTAGGTCAGCGTTTATTTGCTCACGTCATATTTGTGTTGCCTAAGAAAGCATCTAAAGACTTATGGTCTCGTCAAAGGCTGCGTTGTTGCATCAGATTGAACGATTCCTTAGAAATTGCCTTCGCTGAAACGATGGCCTGACTTTGACCTGCCATAGGTCAGCGACCTTATAAGACACATCCAATTTTTATATCAAACGGTCCGCTATTGCATTTGGTACAGCTATAGAAAATTGGACTCGGCTACGCCGCGCTGTTCGGAAACCATTTTGGAAAAACCTTTGGGGGGTCAGTTTGACCTCTGGACCGGAGCGCGTGT